ATGCGAATGGCGTAGGACATCCTATGTGCAGAGGTGAAACGAGGAAATTTCTCTGTGGTTTCTCTATCGTGAACCCAAAATGTCGCAAATTAAAGTTTATTTGATTGTCAAACCACTAAGGATACATATCATCTACGTCCATGATGACCTATTGATATTCTAGGTAGGGCTCCACCTAGTGGTGCTCGTTGGTGCCCATTGTGTGCAGTTGCCGTTGACGACAATAAGGAGGTGCGTTGAGCTCTTGACTTAAATAGTAGGTGCGAGAATGAACAAAGAACGACAAAATGCCAAAGTTTCAGGCTTGGAAGTCCCATTTGTCTGAACACTGCTACAATAATCTTAGAAGAAGTGGCCCTGATATTGAGTTGGACACCGTGCCAGGCATCGTAGAAAAGAAAAAAACTCGTCCGTAAGTTTAAATGGGTAATAGGGAGGGAGTGGAGATGTAGGAAAACAATTCAGGCCTTCGGCTGTATCCACAAAGGTTGTTAGCGGTGGAAGAATGATTGATGCAGATAAATTAGTGGCAGCATTGCAGGTATGTATCACACATTTCATCAACTGGGTTAACTAGTGTTGCAATCATAGCGTGTTGCGGTGACCTATACTGACCTTTCCCATGCTTTTGTTCCTTTTTTAAGCATCGCCTATAGAAATTTCTGTAAAATCTTGCAGAATTCAGGCAGACCTTGAACGCGGTCACACACTGCAACTGCGAACTTAAGCCACCAAGATTTTGAACACATTTCGTTCCAACATCAAATTAAAAAGAGGAATTGAACCTGTGAACGGAACCACAGCCTGTCATGCCTATTTGTGAAAATTTGTTGCTCCCATAAGCATCGTTGGCTTCTGACCGCGATGTTCTCTGATTTGTACTATACAACTAACCTAAAAGAACAAAATTGACTTCTTTGCTAAACAGGTTAGATTAGACAAATCGTCTTATCTTCTCTCCACATTTATCTTTTTCTTTTACCTTCTTGTGCAATCCTACATTCCATGTGTGGTTGGCTACGTATTCTCACGACGTATTGCGGTCCCCTGCAACGCAACGAGCGTCACGCGTATGTGGGCCTTCTCAGTTGAGTTGCCGCAAAGAGCGATAGTTCCGTCCGCAAAACATCAAAGTTGTCAAATCGTTTGCAAAGCGGCTGCAGCGCGTCTTGGGAAAGTTCGTTCAAGGGTCAACCTTATTTGCACAGACTGTAGCCGCCGCCGCGTGGATACTGCGGCATTCTCCACATTAGTTCAAAAAAACATTGGAATTGTTAGCAATTTGGGGAATAATATTTTTATTCAGCATTCATCATTGCGAAAAGCTCAAAATTCACATATTTTAGGAGGTTCAACTACGCAAAAAACAGGAAACAAAGAAAAAGGTACCGACAACAACAACGGAGAAAGAGACAGAGAAATTAGCAACAAAGTGATCTCAGTCTATTGGTTGATAAATTATTGAAAGAATTTTCTTTTGGTATTATCCTGCAGAAAGCACTGTGTACAGGTAT